GGGGTTGCCCTTGCTGTCCTCTGAGGCTGAGAGAGTGTGACTTGCCCCGCCTGAATTGCATGGCAGTTCAAGTGATGCCAAACCGGAGTATATCTGGAGTGCAGATGCGGCCTTGGGTGGGAAATGGTTTTACCCGGCCGTGTCCTCTAGTCTTTTGCAACCCCAGAAGAAGAAGAGGAAGGAGAGTGGGAGGAGGAAGAGGAGAGGAACTGCTTTGGTGCTGGTTACTGTGCGATAATCTGTGTGCTCAGAACATTACCATCGCGTTCTCAATTATAAGACCCCTTCCCATATTGTTCCGTTCCAGGGACTCGATGGAAACGTTCCAGGGACTAGTGCGATAAACTTATATGTCTCAATGTCTGTGGTACTCTATTGCTTTTCAATGATCATTGTTTAGTTAATCATTAATGTTCATATTTCTTTGCATTTCTGTTCCATGTCACCACACTAATTACACTCCTAACCCTTCCACACATATGTATATCCTTTCCATACAGTCTGTATAATGCTGTATAATGCCATATAAAATTGTATCTGATGAAGTGAACTGAAGTCCATGGAAGCTTATGCCAGACATTTCTTTTTCTCAATCTCAAAGGTGCTACAGGATTCCTTTTTTAAAATTTATGCATTACACAACTTGTTTTTCTTCTATGGTGCCACAGCACTCTTTGTGTTTTGCTTCAACAGCTACCATCCCCCCATATGTCTACATAAATCTTTAGTACTAGGGAACAACTAGGTGTTGAATGTGAAATCTTTGGTTGCAAATGCATAAATACATCACAGTGTACTCTGAAGATGATTACTGTACAGCTGATATCAGATTGGAACCAAAATTTACATCCTGCCAATAGAAGGGCTTCTTGTATTGAATATTCTTATTATATATAGAGAGAGAGAGAGAAAGAGAGAGAATACTCAATAGAGTGTGTGTGTGTATTCTCTATTCAGTATTCTATATTCTATTCCACAGAAGGGCTGAGGAATTCCAGGGGCAAAATGGAGAAGCAGGAGCTTTTTGATAAATTCATCTCATCAGATTGTTGTGCCTCTCCAAAAATTTGTTCTGAACTATTGCCTTCTCCCAGAATGGTGAAGGTGGTGGCATTGGGACTTTGGAGAGAGCCAGTGTGGCATAGTGACTTGCATTGCCTTTGGGTTACCATAAGTTTGGAAACAACTTGAAGGCACACAACAAATATACTTCCCTTCCACCTCACCTAGTTAATGGTAATACTCTGAGGAGAATTTTGAATTCTACTGCTGATGGCAGGAAACAGTGAATTCAAACAGCTAGAGAACACGTTTGAGGGATCATGACTGCATAGTTGAGTCAAAATAACATAATCAATGTTCAAAAATCATTTTCTAGATTTTTGTCTTATTTCTAGGCATAATGGTTATGAGGGTAGAAAATTGCTTTAAAATGAGCAGTTATATGAATAGTACAAGCTTATATTTGGATTTGGTTGACACAGGCTTAAATGAGGATTTTTATGATTCTGGCAATAATTGATATTATGTGCATGCTTTTTTCTGTTCCTTTCCCCTTTTTTGGTGGTATTCATCCTGTAGTGATGTGGCATGTGGTATACAATTAAAACCTAATCATGGTATCCTACACTGTTCAGAAACAACACATGGTGCATATAAAGCAGACATTATGAAAACCAATCAGACTGGTTGCACAAGTAACAAAACATTTCATTTGAGGAAGGGCCTCTTAATTTCTCTTGCTAGGTGTGTGACATCTGGTGCTTCATAAATGAATCATACCAAGCTAAACAGATGTCCCAAAGATTAGTAATTAAGTGGAAAATACCAAGACCAAGTCTAAAGCTCCTGCCCTTATCTGGAAGTAAGCCCCGTTAGTGAGATTGGTGAGTAAACATGGTTAGATTGCACAGTTTATTTGGATTTGCAGAGGGTGAAAAATCTCTCAGGAGCCATGAAAGACACCGAGGGAAGAGAATACAGTAGTTGACTACTTCACTCACTGTTTTTAGGTTTCCCTTTTTCTAGCTGAAATGAACTTGATGTGACAAACTTGCCATGCTACTATAACTTGTAAAGATTGATACAAACAGGAGAAGCATAAGGTGTTCTCAAGGAGCCTTCTTATGAAGAGTGGGTGGGTTCTCTAGTTTTACCTTTTCTGTGTTTTTAAATTATTTTGTGTCATTTAATGTATTATTTTTTAAAATGATGATATTTTAATTGTGTTTTAATTTTATTACTTTGTTTTTAACTAATTTCATTTTGTTTGTGAGCCACCTTGAGTCCCACACTGGGAGAAAGGTGGTATATACATGCAATAAAATAAATAAGTAATAAACATGTTATTGAGTTTATCATGTTCAGAACCAAAATATTATATCCTTGAGTTCTAAAAACCATAGACATATCCTTGGATATTTGAATCAAAAGTGTCAGCAAACCAAACTGTTCTTGTAAAGTACAAAGAAACAAAGAACATCTTTTGTTTAGTGCAAGTGTTAATGAGAGTATTGACATGTATTCCCTCTGAACATCAAATATAATGCTAGTTTAATATAATATATGGCCATTTCATCTGCATTACAACATAGCTTGTTCCACACTATTTGGAAATAAGCATTTTGTATGATATTGTAAGTACTGAAAATGTTAACTGTCTATAATTTTATCATGCATGCCTAACTCAGTAGCTTCCACTCACTTCAACCCACTTTTTTGAGTTTCTCTTTGGGTTTTTCTTAAACTTGAAGGAGCAATGCAGGCTGCTGAACTCTAATATCCTAAATATTTCCAGCACCTTGGATAGCTCCTGTAAAATTCAGATTTAAATCCAGGATGGACTGACTTTGGGCTTGCTTTGCTTTGCTTTTTACAGACTGCCAGAAATAGTGCAAATTGAAACCACTTTAACTGTCCTGGCTCAGTGCTAGGGAATCATGAGAACTGTATTTTTTTTCTGGGACATTGAGCCTTCTCTGCTAGAGAGCTCTGGTGCCACAATAAACTACTGTTCCCATGATTCCTTAGCACTGAGTCAGGACAGTTAAAGTGGCCTCAATTTGCACTATTTCTGGCAGTCTGTAAAGGCCCTTTATTGGCATGGGAGTCACCTGCAACTAGTGGGAATAAGGTTTGGAAACACTTTACAGTGCTAAGGGTGCTTGTTCTTTTCATTGATCCTTCTATGCTTTCTTCCCTATAGAAGACAACAGGAGAGCTGGAGCTGAGCTATACCAAGTCTGAATGTTTTTTCTTTGCTACTAGTAAAGGGAAGTGAGAGTAACTATAGAGGTACCTATACTTTGTGATTGTCCCCAGTCTGAACACTAGAATACAGAGGGATATTAAGATGGATTACTGATGTGGCTGTGACACAATTTTGTATTTTCCTGATTGATGGGATGGGTGACTGCAAACAACCAAATCAATCTGAAAGTCACTACACTAATGTGCAATTTATTGTTGTACAGTGGAATTGGATACAGTTGATTTCCATGTAATCTTGTAAACATTCTTATATGAGTAGCACATCTCAGATCCATTGAGATTCCCCTAGGGCAAGAATGGACCAAATATGGCCTACCGGCCCAGCCCATCTGTCCCATAGGGTGTTGGGATAAACCCATGAGGGGGTAGGAAAGAGCTTAATATATGGAGTCAAGGCTGTGGCTCAGTGGCTGTACTATCCCCTCTCCTTCTTGCCTAGGGAAGTTGAAGGCAGAGCACAGTTAGCTGGGCACACAGTTGCAACTTTTAAGCTATGTCTGACTCTCTAGATCAGGATGCAGTTGCACTTTTGTAGGGCCAACTTAATCAGCATTACTCCTTCATTTTCCTCTTGCATAGGTGGGTGGGTGGGAGGAAGTAAAGCTTGTGCTGTATGAGAAAGAGCCACTCTGATCAAGACACCTGTTCTTAGGTGTAAGGTACACAGGGATGATGTCTTTGTGTACGTAATCATTCATATAAACGGTATTTATTTCAAAACAAATAAGTTTTTGCATGTTCTGTCTGTCATGATTAGCTCAGTGAAGCAAGAATGATGTGGAGTAGAACAGCAATTCCGCACATACAGTAACAACCAAGTGATATATGAGAGAACACAGGAAATTTCCTTGTGTAGAGTCAGGGCATTAGTCTATTTCAGTATTGTCTGTACTGATTAGCAGTAACTTGCCAGCATTTCATGGAGGACTCTTTCTGAGGTATACCTGAAGATGCAGGGGACTAAACCTTGAACCTTTTTCATGCAAAGTATGTGCTCTATCCACTGAGCTAAGAACACCTCCAATAAAGTAACTGGGAGGAAAAATTCTAGAAACTTGTCTGACTACCATTGTTAGTGTTAAAGGGAATTGCACAATCCAAAGTGTGGTGTTTTAGGTATTATAAGATACCCAGATTTTATGTAGAATGCTGTATGCTTAAGTAAAATCTGTTGCCTTAAACCAGCCTTGTTGATTTAGATTGGTCCTGTTAACACTCTGTTACAACTTTGAGAGTTGTTGTCTAAGGTTTATGTGAGAAAGTAGTGCTACTGGACTTTCCCCGACATATTGTTAACATGAGTAAGCATGAATTTAACGTTCATATGATCTGACAAGGATTGTCTGACATGACTAAATGCTGGTAATAGAAGAGTTGAAGTAGTGCCTCTTTGATTTTTTGCTTCAGGCATGCTGTTGTGCCACTTAATCGTTTTCACTAGGTTTTTTTAAAAAAATATTA